CGAGGCATGGCCTCTGGGTCAGAAGCACCAGCACAGGCCTCTGGGCTGGGAGTGTGGTCGAACGAGGAGCGCCCGGTGCAGGCTTGGGTTGGGGTCTCAACCCATGGGCTGTGTTGCTTCTCCGGATGGAGAATCAGAATTCAGCACCTCCAGGATGCGGGGCTGGCCTGCGTTACACAGTGGCTTTCATGCTGGTGGGGAGAACGCCCATGTCTTTTGGGGTCACAAAAGTTGTCTGCTGACCGTGGTGTGACAAGGAAAAATGGACACTTTGCTTTCCAAATGTAGCAGAGTTAGATTAATAATTTCCCCCAAACAAGAGCCCCTAACCTCCCCTGCCTCTTAGGGCCTCACAGCCTACTCATTTTTTTTTTCTTTTTGATTTTTTGACACAGGGCCTCACTCTATAGTTTAGACTGGACTTGAGCTCATTGTGTATTCCAGGCTATCCTCAAACTCACAGTGTTTCTCCTGCCTCAGCCTCCTGAGTGCTGGGGTAACAGATTTGTGTAGCCGCTATTAAGGGTTCGCTTGTTCAAGGATAAAAGTCCTACGTGATCTGAGTTCAGACCGGAGGAATCCTCTGGCCAAGTTTCTTGATAGTATCTCCTGAGGGCCTACATACAGCCAGTCCTAAATCTCAATGCAGAATCAAGAGACAATCAGAATGCATATCATTGGTTGGGGAAAAGATCATGCATGAGTCAAAATTCCACTGGACCCAGAGATTCCCCTTCTAGGTATCTTCCTGAAAGAGTAAAAACAGTGATCCATGCATGGTCATGTTTAGCAGCACAATTCATGATAGCAAAATCTTGGAAGTGACCTATATGCCTATGAGCAGATGAATGGATATAGAGAATGTGATATTTACACACAATGAGGTACATACTCTGTCATAAAGAAGGACAAACGAGGCATTTGTAGGAAAATGAATGCACCTTGAGACCATTTTTGCCAAGTATATCAGACACAAAGCTTAGCTATCACATTGTTTTTCTTGCATGAGAAACCCAAAATATAAATCATTTAAAGAGTAAGATAAGCAATGACCAGAAACGGGGAGAGATCCTTTGCAAAGGGGAAGAGGACTGAGAGATGGGGCAGCGGGTACGAAAAGAAGGAAGATGTGTGGCGTACATACGCCAGCTCATTATACACTGCAAGCCTGTACTCATAAAAATTAAAAAACAACACTCCAAGTCTGATTTCTACTGAAGGGTATCACAAGACGGCTGGGGATTTAGCTCAGTGGTGCCGGCGCCGCTTGCCTCTCAAGCACAAGGTTCAGAGTTCAATCCCTGGTACCAAAACAAACAAACAGAACAATAAGCGAACTGAATGCATATCACTTTCACACCATCATTAAGGCTGAAAAGTCACAAACCAGCCACCACTCGGGGGTGGGGAGGGACTGTCCGAAGTTTGCTTTTGGTTTCTAATCCTGTAACTGCAGGGTCCCCTCAATGCCACAGGGGCACGAGAGAGAAAATGTTATTGAGGGAAGGGGTTTATGGTGGAGCTGGGTGCGGGAAGTGTGCCGGAGGGGAATGGATGGTTGTCCTATGTCACAGCACGGGCATAAGCGGGCACCAGGGAGGAGGTCTGACAGGTGGCCCTGGCCCGGGTGGCACTGGGGATGCTGCCTGCCAGGCCTAAGGGCAGGGTCTGTGGCTACCTGTGTGATAGAACAACCTGGCAACCCCCACCAGGGACCACGCACCAGCAGCTGGCCTCTCTCAGGAGGCTGAGATTCGGGGTCCCCCCACCTAGTGAGTCTGTGCTTGACCAGCTTTGAGAAGCCCACTGCGGCTGCCCACACGGCCACCCGGGAGTTGAACAGCCTTCCCCTGCTGGGCCCTGAGCTGGCACAGACCACAGCTGCAATGGACGCTAGACTGCTCTGAGCCTGTTGACCTGTGCTTCCCTCCGGGGAGTCAGTTGTCAAGGGGGACCCCGAGACCACAGTGTTGCTGTAAGGAGACCCAAGCCAACTCAGGGAGAGGCTGCAGGTGGCTGAGGAGTGACCTCACCAACTCTCTGCAGCCGACCCTGCCCACGCTGCTGAGCCCGATGCATCCCAGTGACTGACCTTGGCTGTGCTCAGCCACTGCGTCAGGTTATTTGGCTACCAAGGCGGCACCTGTCTTTCCTCTTCCCTGAAGGAGGTGGCTGAGGAGTGGCCACCTGCAGGGACAAGGTGCTGAGCCCTTTCCCTGCCTGCTGCTCTGTGGCATGGACATTCTTGTCCAGGAAGATGGCAAGAGACAAGATGACACTCAAGCATGGTGACTTTGGCAGATAAGGGTCCCTCGGGGTGGGGATGGGGACAATAGGGTAAAATTAGGATCGGTTTCTGAGGAGACACACTTGATCTGAGGCCCGCAATGGGGACTATAAAACGAACCCAGAGAAAAGCAGAGTCTGAAGGCCGAGGGTGAAGGCAGAGATGAGATCACCAAAATCTGCGGGCCCTGGAGCTGCACTGTCCTGCTTGGCAGCCCTGGCCACACACAGCGATGTCACCTGAGCTTGAATTGAGAGGCAGTTGCTCTGCCCCACCAGCCGTGTGTCCCGCGGTCACATGGGACGATGTAGATGTTGTACGTTGCCATCGTCTCCAAGAGTTCTAGGGGCCGGTGCAGGCACAGCACACAGGGGAAGCAGACCGGGTCTGGGGCACACCACATGCCCTTGGGCTTCAGTCTTTTTTAACGCCTGGAGGTCCCACCCCAGGGGTTAAAGGAGGCTCTTCCAGCCCAAGCTAGGTGGAAATTACCAATGGCAGCAGCCTGGCCCAGCCCTAAGCCCTTGGTCCTCCTCCAGCTCACTGATTCTCTCTAACCTCATCTGGCTCTCATTTGGGGCCCCTGATGTGAAAAGGAACAGAGTATGGCCACTACTTCAGGCATCACACTGAAGGGATATTGCCACAATTAGCGGAAGCCGATTTTGATTAGCATATTTTCTTTCTGGACACTTAACATGTTGGCGTGGCAACAGGCACCCTGTCTGGTACCATCAGAACCAGATGCCCAGGGGCGGGAATTTAGCTCAGTGGTCCTGCTGCCTACCTCAAAAGCACAAGGTCCTGATCCCTAGTACCAAAAATAAAACAAAACAGAACCAGAGACCAGGCAATGGCCCTCACAGGCCCACAGGGAATGCAGGGTCTTTAGGACAACATCCAGGAAGGGCCAGGAAGGTCCAAGGAGCCAGGGATGGCACTGTGTCTTAAGGAAACGTGTGATGGCACCCAGGCTTGTCCCCTCCTTATTTATCCTTGCACATAGCCTGAGGCCAGTGGCTAATAGCCACCCCACCCCCATGCTGTCAGCCTGATGTCAAGTTCACATCATCCTGAGAGGCTTCACCTGCCTCGGTTCAAACCTGGAAGTCCCAGCATCCTGTGGTCTTGGCTTTGGAAATGGCCTTTAGAAGTCTTGGGGTCCTGCTCCACCCCATGGTGATTGTCCCCAGCTGTGCTTGCAGGAGGTCTGGTGCTGGAAAGCAGCCCGTTGTGTCTCTAAAGCCTTCTACTGTTGTCAACACAGTCTAGGCCATCCTGGGCAAGGTCCCAGAGTGTGGCAGGGCTTGGAGTCAGGGGTCTGGCACGCAGTAGGTGCTGTTTGTTCCCAGACTCCTCTTGCTCTGGCTCCTTTGCCGTTTGTTAGGGTTTAGATCTATGACGTCCCCAGTTCTCTGTATGTGGAAGGAGACTGGACCATGGGGTGCTCTGCTCAGCAGTAGACACATCCACCAAGGAGCTCAGATCCGAATGTGCTGTAGGAGGCTGTGCCTGGTTGGAGGTGTTCACTGGGAGTGACCTGAAAGAGCGAGTTCCGTCCAGTCCTCCCTTCCCTCTCTGCTTCCTGACACCGCGAGGTGAGCACTCTGCTCCGCCAGGCCCCCTCACACTGTTTCTGCCATGGAGAGGCCCCCCGCGGACCTCTGAAACTGCGAGCCACAACAGAGCTCCTTTGGATGAAAGTGACAAACACCTTTTCTTTCAGAGGAGGCCGAAAGGCTCTCAGTGTGCCCTGTAAGCCCCTGCATCTGGGGTGCCGCCACGGCTGGTGAAGTCCTTCTTCTCCGCTTCACATAGCTCGAGTCCTGAGCCTCCCGAAGACCCTCTGGGCCTGGAAAGGCTGGGTCCACAGGTGAGGAGGAGGTTCCCTCGGAGGGACCTGCAGGCCCCTGGATGTGAGCAGCTGTGAGACTGAGGCTGGCCCCACGCCCTGGTGCTGGTTCCCAGTGTTGGTTTCTGCGGGCTTCTGGCAGCTCTAAGCCTGCTCCCATGGCCCGGCTGGGGCTGCCCAACACCCTCTCGGTGAGAGGGCTTTAGTCCCAGCCCCATCCCTCCCTTCTTTTCTAGTGTTCTGATCTACCCAGGCACTTTCTGTCACTGTTCCAAAGTGCTGTTACTGTCCCGGAGGAAAGGGAGAGGTTTGACACACCAGAGGGGTTTGGGAGCCGTATTTAAAAACAAATTGAGAGCTGACTCCATGCTGCACAGCCATAGACCAAGGGCTGGGAGGCTGAGGCAGGAGGATAGTTTAAACCCAGGAGTTTAAAACCGGCCTGAGGAACATAATGAGAAGGCAGTCGGCATGAAGAAGACCATTGGGTAGGTTTTGGAGGTGGCGCTTCTGTGTTGCTCACGGCACCATGAAGGTAGCTCTGCTCGCACTGCTGTGCCTTGTGATCCTGGCCAGTGGCTGCTGGGACCCGACCTGAGGCCAGGACCAAGGCTCTAATGGAGCCACCTTGCCACCCGGCAGCATCCATCAAAGACATGGTGAACTTTGCCCAGGGAGCCAGTGCAGGTGGCCAGCCTAGGTGTCTATAGATGGTTATGCAGTGGGAGAGGCCAGGTGCGCCAGGCTGGGGAGAACTCGGAGCCGTCCCCACAAAGCCCTGCCACCAGTAATGTTGTGGGACTGGGACGAAGCTGTCAGCTGGGGCTCCTGTGTGGGGTGGGGTTGGATCTGAGAACTCACCAGGTGCACCAGATGAGGCAGTGACAGCAGCAGGCAGCTCACCTGGGTGGCTGAGGACCTGGAACCAGCCCTGGGAAGGTAAGCAAATGTCCTGTGTCCCAAGGTCCTGCACAGGTGACATTGTGATGTCATACCGCTGAGGTGGCCCCACAGCAGGGTCAGGGACAGGTGCGCAGGACAGGCCAGCACAACTAGAGAAGCACTGAGAGATGTCTGTGGTAGAGACATCAACCTGCGGATAGCAGCAGATAAAACACCCCACAGTCATCTGCCACTGTGACTCCTGTCCCTGTCTGCTTTGGGCCACTCAATTAAACCAAGTCCATCTTCTTTGTTTTGCTTTATTTTGTTTTTGTTTGTTTGTTTGAGACAAGGTCTTACTATGCGGTTAAGGCTCACCTTGAACTCATTATGTAGCTCAGACTGCCCTGGAACTCTCAAAGATCCTCCTGCCTCAGCCTCCCGAGTGCTGAGATTATATGCATGTCACCATGCCTGGCTCAGAACAAGCTCATCTTTTGCAAAGTTTCACGACTCATAGACTTATGTGGGAAGCCCCAACCCCGAATGTTTTCTGTGATTCATTTAAAATTCCAGGCAGCTTTTTTATGTCGTTATTTTTTTCTACTGAGTTAATCCTACCGTTTCCTCTACTCTCTGCCTAGTGGGGCCCTCAGGGCAAGCAAAAGAATTTAAATATTAGCTCAGGAAAACAAACAGGCAGTGAATCTACCCCTCCAGTTGAATCCAACACAGAGGTCTTTGAGGTTATCTTCACAGCAGGACTCTGGGCTACTTTCCACTGTTGGGATTTGATAATTGGGGGAAGTTTATATTTATTTTAATTATTTATTTAAGTTTTGGTACTGGGGATCGAACTCAGAACCTTGCACTTGCAAAGCAGGCAGTGGAACCACTGAGCTAAACCCCCGGTCCTAGAAGTTTATGTTTAATGGGGCTGAAAAGAAAAGAAACTCACCCTGAAGCTTCCAGGCCCTTTTTCTCTGGTGCTTGGAGCCGGGGTGGGAAACAGTCCATGGCTTCGCTTGGAAACCTCTGACTGAGCCCACATTTTAGAGTTTCAACTGTGGATTTCAAATATTAGTGTGCATTAGAATCACCTTGAGGGTTGTGAAACGACGTATCCCACCCCCAGAGATTTCGAGTCCACAGGCCTGCGGGGACCCACACACCAGTTCCCAGGCACAGTGACGCTCCGGGTCCGGTGACTTGCTTTGAGAGCCCCGATGGGGTGCTGGTCTCCTGGGTTTGATCCTGAAATAGCAAGGCCGGCCGGCAGTGATATTTTGAAGTTTTCTGAGAACAAACAGGAGCTCTGCTTTGAGGCCAAGGCTAGCTGAGCCTTCTGGTTCAACCAACAGGATTTATTGAGGATCTGTTCATCACAGGGGCTGAGCCTGAGCAGGGGGCTTAGCTGACATCAACTGAAACCTCAGGGCGAACCACTTGCAAATGCAGAGGGGGCCGGACTCCCACCGGACTCAGCCTGGGCAGCAGCCAGGGCCGGAGGTTCCCACGGGGTCCAGCCCTGGTGCCCACATGGTGACAGCTTGAAAACGCATCTTCCTGAGGGGCCTCGGCTCCCCCATGGTGCTTGTCCTGGTAAGAGCATGGATTGAAGGGGAAGGACATAAACCAGCTTAGTAGGCTCGGACTTTCTGGAATTGATGGTGAGCGTCTGGTCTTGGGGCAGATGGCAGTGGCCCTGTGCCCTTTGGATGTCACGAAGGTCACCCTGAGGAAATCACCAGCTGCTGTGGTCGGGAGAGGCCGGTGACCCTTTGCTTGTACATTGGGAGGTCTGCATGTGAGGCTGCCACCCGGTTACTCCCGAGGTCAGAGTAAGGAGGTGCAGGTCTGTTACCTTGCAGGAGTGCAGGGTGCTCACAGTGGGTGACAAGGGTCTCTGCTGGCCAGGTGGGTTCTACGCTTGCCCAGGGGTCAGGCCCAAGGTCTGGCTGTCCCCGTCTCACCCCTGCATGGTGGCAGGACCAGCTCAGCTCTTCATTGCCCTGCAGCGGCCCTTGGTCCAACCCAACCCCTCCCTGTGCTCCACTTGTCATTGCCACCAACCCTCCTGGAGTCCCCCCAACACGCAGGCAGTCCAAACACAGTGTGCCTGCTGAGGGGACACCCTCCAGCTTCCTCGAGCCAGGTGCTTCAGATGCAGGAAGCCTGGCGTTGCCATCACCTGGGCCTGGCCGGTTACCCTCCAGGTCACTCTGAGGGGACAGATCACTCCAGAGTTCTCTCCCCACCTTGAAACGTGGTTCCAGGGACAAGGAAGCTGGCGGTCCCCAAGCACTGTGTCAGGGATGGTATTAACTTTGTCAGCCTTGCTCAGGACTCAGAAGTCATTGGTTACCAGCCACTACAAGCTCTGCCTGCCGACCAAGGGTCACACACATGTGAGGGACCCAATTCAGAGCCTAGGACAGAGCTTGGAGGTGAAAAGAAGCTCAGCATGCGCTCTGGGAGACCACAGATCCAACCCCGCCTCGAATTTCACACTCTGAAAGCCATGAACGTGCTTTGGACCTTCTAATTTCATCTCTTTAATTTGTTTGGAGGAAGTAATCCAAAATATGGGAGGAGTGAATCTGAAACATGGGGGAATGTAAATATAAATATATAACCTTAAAATATGAAGGGAAATATATGTACTAATCTGTTAATGTGAGCATGACTTAGAATTGTGAGAAACCAGAAATAATTTAAATGTCTGTTAGAGGGATAAAGCGATAAATTGCAGAAAACTCACTGGTTGGAATATGAGGAGTCATTAATATAATGGTTATAAAGACAATGGGGTAAGAGAAGAATGTGAGGTATAAATTTAAAAATCAGAGAATACAAACAATTACAACTGTGGAAATACTTGCCTATTAAATGTGCCCATCATTAGTGATCAGGAAAATGGAAACTCAAAGCCCTACACGCTCATCAGAGAGGCTAAGATGAAAAAGAGCAACAATACTAAGTGTTGGTGAGGCTGTGGGGCAAGTGGAGCCCCTATACAATGGGAAATGGCATAGCTGCTCTGGAAAATTGTCTGGAGGTATATAAAGTCAGGCATATGACCCAGAAATTCTGCTCATGCACAAAGAGAAGTGAAAAACAAGACTGCTACAACCCCATTCCCAGCTGCTTTTTTCACTGTAGCCCCAAACCTGAAGAGTAATTTCAGTGGCTACCTGGAATGGGGGGTAGCTAGAGGGCACACAGCAACTTTGTGGACTGAAAAAATATTCTAGATCTTTCTCCAATGGTTACTCAGGTATGCCCATTTGTCCAAACTCACAGATTTATACGCTTAAAATACAGGAATTTTATTTTTTAAATAAATTTTATTTTATCCCATTTCCTCCTATGTATAAAAGCTTGGTTTCCATTTTTTCCCTGTGTCCACGGTTTTCTTGTCCCTTCCTCCCTCTCTCCCTCCCTCTTCCCTAGTTCCCCTTCCCATTTCCCAAAATCTATTGTACATTTCATTCCTTATTTCCACTTTTGGTTTCTAACACTAGAGAAACAAGGCAGTATTTAAACATGTGTCTGATTTATTTCACTTAGGAGCATGGTCTCAAGGTCCATCCATTTAGCTACAAATGTCTGAGGGTCATCTTTCTTCAAGGTTGAGTAGTACTGCATTATATTACAGAAATCACATCTTCTTTATCCACTCGTCAGTTGATGGGCATTTGGGCTGTTTCCAAGATTTAGCTATTACACATTATGTGCTGCTATAACACATGGGTGTGCATAAATTGCTGAGGAATTTTATATACTGTAACTTAATTTTATGCACTGTGACTAGGCCAGGTGTAGTGGTGTTTGCCTGTAATCCCAGCACGCAGGAGGTGGAGGCAGGAGAATCGCCATGAGTTCAAGGCCAGCTTGAACTACATAATGAGACGCCATCTCAAGAGAAAAGAAAATAAAAGACCCACAAACAGTGCAGTTTATAGCTCAATAAAGGTGAACATGTATGTATATATTTGGGACATATGGGTCTGCAGGGTGTTTATATGTGATGTATAATACACTCCACATTGCTTGTCAAGGGGGAAATGAGAAAGAAGTACTCTAAAATGTGAGAAGGCTTTGTGTTCATTTGTTAAAAGTTGCAGACTGCTAGGGCCACACACATGTTCAGTGTTGGACATTTCTAGTGCCTGTCTGCAGTGCTTCTACGGTTTCTCTCCATGGATCTGCAACTAAGTTCAGATATCATGTCCCTCATGGAGTCACCCATGCCATCCTGGACAAAACCCAGTGTTGTCTTATTTATGTCAGCAAGCATCTTGTGCTCTCCAAGGGCTGGGAAAATGTCTTTGATTTCTTTTCTTTTTCCTTTTCCCCCTTTCTCCCTTCCTCCTTCCCTTCCTTCTTGTAGTGCTGATGGAACCTGATGTAGCTCATTAGTGGACCTCTGAGGACACAGGATAAATCTTTATTCCTAACAGTCTCGTGTAGAGAAACTAAATCTGAGCTGGCACCCAGGCTGTTCACTGACCTAACCGCAAACAACAACACAAATGGTTTCCTTTGCTGTGTACATGGTGCACTTTGGAGATGTGCAAGCTGAGTCCTTCATCAGGATCCTGTCCCACCACTTCCTAGTTTTGTGACTAGGAAGTTATTCCAAGTCTGGTTCCTTATCTATGTAATAGGATAGTTAGATGATTGAGGTACGGTAGCATGAGTTCAAAGCCCTCTGAAGTCTACTAAACACAATGCAATGGCAGATAAGGTGCTAAAATAACAAATCTAGACCTTGGCCTCTTCCTCTCTGACCTCTTTTGTTCCTTGTTCTTTATCATCAGGTTCTCTGAAATTGCCAGTTATGCCCCCACCTCAGGACCTTTGCACATGTTCTATCTAAAAGACTTCTGTTTCTTCATAGTCCTGCAGCTGGGCCTGATGTCACCTGAGGCTTTACCTAAACATCACTTTCTATCACATTCACATTGGTCTGTCTGTCTTTTTTT